GGGTCATGAATTACAAAGGCACACAAGCCAAGGTTCAGGTTGATATACAATGCATTGTGGCAAATAAACAATGTCTTACTTTATACTTGTTTTTAATATAAAAGTGTTTTTCAGGTACGTAACCAGGGATCTTGTAGGGGAGGTGTACAGGCAATGATTTGCAGAAAAAAAAAAAAAAAAAAAGTAACCAAAGAAAATAGCAGAACCAAATAAAAAAAAGGGGATAATGGGTGAGTGGTTCTTAAATACGCTACAATATGCAGATGGAAAGTAGTCTTCATTTACTCAAAAAACATTTACATGCAATAAAGCAAAAGGAGATAGATGAGCGGACCTTTTGACAACCAGTCTCTCACTCGGTCAAATCGAAGCTCGCAATGCATCATAATTAGCATGTTAAAAATACAAAGACCATAAATAAATTCAGATCAGAATAAAAAAAATCCTGCATTAGAATATATTAATTCGATTGCCAAAGATTAAACAAATGGCCATAAAAGTAAATTCGGGTGCTTCAAAAGCAAATTCAGTCCCACCAAAAATTAAATATAATCACCATAAAAGCAAATTCAAAGACCACAATAAAAATACAATAAGCCATGAAATAAATGATGATAATATTGACTGGATCGGCGCCCTATAGTATGTCGCGCCCCTCTTCATTTATTCGCTGACTTTTAAAATTTGAAATGGGTTCTCTGTGGGCTTCCTGTGGAGAAGGCCTGGTGTTTCTTTTCAAGATGGAGGACATGGCGTGTTGTTGTCTTTTCTTTGCTTTTCATGTTTCATCTTCATGCAGCTTTTAAGACTTCCAGTTTCTGACTTTCGCAGCAGCTAGCTCCAAAGAAAGATGAGCAAGCAATCTCATTCTTCAAGGAATTTCAAATTATAAGTATTTTTAGTGGTTTTTTTTTGCCATATTATTCTTGAATAAGTTGTTCTTTGTAACTTGCTGTTCGGTAGAATTGAGTATAAATAATCTTGGCTGTTTTATTTATCTCTTTACGGTCCATCAGACGTTGTGCATAACATCAATAGACTTTCAGAGAAAATGCCTTTTTGTAAGTAAACCTTATGATAGAGCTCTCGCAGGTTTCACTCTCTTTTGAATAAGTCACTTTTAAAATGTCTGTTATGATAGTAAGCCTACTGTCAATATCTTGCATGCTATTGTAAGCTTATTAATGTTTGCACCTATTTTAATAATTATGTCACTGAAATGGTGAACTTGGCAACTGCAAACTCCCCATTGAATTGAATTTTTGACTGGTGCATTTAAATCTAATTTGGTTTCTGTCTGTCAAAAAACTACCACAGACTGTTATTTCAAATTGATGTATGAAACCCAACATGCTAAACTGGCCATGTTTTGGCTTTCGTCAATCAAATTTACAACAGGCTTCRTTAGTAATTTTTTAATCGGCAGAAGCCAAAAAAACCTAGACACATGAGAGTTTAGATGATGTAGTGATGCAGGTTTATAAAGCACATAGGAATTGGTGGATCCAGGGGTCTAGTCACCCCACTTTTCCTCAAATTTCTCAGTATAATTATTGTAGTAAGAGTCAACCCTCTTTTCTTGGAACTCCTGGTAAAACCTTTGTAATAGTCACCCTAAGGATCTGCCCCTGAAAACACAATAGAAGTGTTAGGAGAAGTGCAACACATGTTGTGTGCTCTCTTTAATGTAAAGCATGCATCCTCTACCAACCAAACAGAAAGGGAACATTATCACTGTGATAGTTATTTCCAAAAGTGCTCTAACCAACTCCATGATTTTCTTGTAGGGTTTTGTGGAACTGAGGATTCTACCATTGGTACACAACCTCACCAGACTGAAACTCAACTGCAAACAATGCAATATCCTTTGAAATTATTCCTTAGTAATGAAGGGTTTTTTCATTCCTTTGATAATGGAGGTAGCTTATTAGATTAGTTGTTGGATTCAAGACAATTGTGAATCAGTATTATATTACTGACAGCAATTGTACTTCCCGATTGGATTTGGTTTTTGACTGGTGCCAATTAAAAATGTAAGATTTGCTGACCAATTACTTTTGATATCTGATATCTGCCCTCTGTAAATAATGATTACAGCCAGTCCAGCTGATCTGAAATAGTGACCTAGAAACGACATCACTGCAAAACTGAGGTGTCATGAAACCTGCGAAAATTGCTGACCAGCAAAATATATGAACATGCCGCCATTACAATAAAAATATAAAACTCAGTTATTGTGTCATTAATCAACCTCTTATTAGCAACTTTTTTTTTTTTTCATTTGGTTGCCTGGAAATCCATAATTTTGAGAGGAAAAGTGACACCTAAGTTTTGCAAATTTTCTCTATTCTAATTGGCTAACATTTTCTCACAGATCARCTAGTTGAAAGCCATGATATCTTGATATGTCCTTAACAATGCTTAAGAATCATGAGAATATGCATCAGAGATGAGAGAAAATATGACTGGTATGAGGCTGGATTTCAGCTGGATGATCAGAGAGGTAAACCAATCTGTGGGGATGCAAAGAAGTAAGTGAACTTGTACAATAATGATGAATAGGAATCACACTTATTCATGCTGTATGTACAGATATAAAGCACACAGGAAATGCAGGGCACAAATATAACGGCCAGGAAAATGTCCGTCCAGAACTGGAACTTGTCCAGTCAAATCTTTGCCTTGCTGGTCATTTTGACCAGTAACATTGAACCAGAAACAAAGTATGACCAAGCTAAAATTAACTTGGCTGGTGATCATGACTGCGACTGACCAGTTGTTATTTTTAGCTCTGGGCATGAGAAAACTAGTTTAAATCATAGTTGAAGCACAATGCATTGAAAAGAATTGCATAGATTTATTAATAATGTTTTTATTATTATATCACACGGCATAGCAGGCACGTTTACTCTACATATTAAGATACCAAATGTTTTTTAGACAAATGAAGTGTTTATGTATTGAATAAGAACATGTGTAATAGGTAAATTAGGAGCCTTTGTGTATTCTGATAAAATGAAATCCCCAACTGATAAGAAAGCAAGATTTATATAAGGATAATACATGGGCGCGCGGAGATACGCAATTTATCTTTGAGTGTTGAAAATATCTCTTACGAGTGAGCACAGCAGACGAGTGAGAGATGTTCAACACGAAAAGACAAATTGCGTATCTCCAAGCGCCCATGTAATATTCTGTTTATTATATAATTATCAATGAAGTATGTTTTGGCTTTTTCAGGCAATTCTTTCCATGTATTTTTGAATAGCCATCGCAATGGTGTTATTTTCACATGTGAAAATAACATGTGTCACTTTTATTTTCACATGTGAAAATAACATGTTATTTTCACGTGTGAAGATATCAATTTTTCGAAATAGAGAAAAATAGATATTTCATAGGTAATTATATAATAAATAGTAGTTATTTTATTAAAAGATATTATGAATCAAAACCAGAAACAACCTCTAAGGTTCAATATAAGTCACAATTAACTCACAGATGAAATTGGAATTTGACACGTTGGGTTTTCAGGGGGACGGAAACCTGGATAAAAACCTTTGAATTAAGTAAAAGGAAAGGGCCCAACCAACACTATTAATCAAATGTCCAGCAATCAAACCTGAGATGCCAGAGGTGGCATGCAAATGTACTATTGCAGCCTTCAGAAGTGGAAGAAAAGAAATTTTATGGATTGAATAACAGCTAAATCCCTCCATCTTCCAAATTAATTGGTTTTTTTTATTTCTTCCAGGAGAAACCTTGATTATTTCTTAGCCTGCCAACAAAATTCTGTGTGTGATTATGATCCTGATAAAGGTGGAGGAGAATTGACACTCAGAATTCCTAAAGAAGTGCAGGCTTGTGCTATGGGTGAGTATTGTAACTGTATTGTAATGGGTCCCTTCTGCAGGCAATTGGACACAGTTTACTAAATTCAATTGAAACAACTAAAGACCCCAAGTTATACAATAGAACGATGCTCACAAAGATTACAATATGTTTGCGGTACATGCAATGTAAACCCATTGTAATGGGGGTGCTGGGTTGTTGAATTCATTTTTGGCTTACCTGTAGAGCATTCATTGCTTAAAAGAGGTTGAGCACTGGAGGATTTTTGGGAGGCTAGGGTAATCAAAATTTTACAGCCATATTACATGTACTTTCGTTCATAGTTTGATTGCCAAAAAAGCTGAAAAAATGATGGGTACGTTCACAGTATCTATTCCTTTGAAGTCCATATTGTAGATTCCTCCCCACTCCCCCCACCACTTTATTAAAAAAATGGATATTCCATTATTGGCAATTACTGATAAATGATTACAAAACAATGGAAGTGTATCTACAGTATGTTGAGAGCCGCTTTGTTCTCATACTACATGTATGTATATTGTGATTTGTTATCATTATCCAAGTGGCCTGAATCACATAGTCATTACATATAATCCCTGTTCTAAGTCATACTTGGTATATTGCAGAGCGTCGGCCGTTCAGAGTCAGTATTGAGTACTCACTGGATCATCCTGAGACTGGTATTCAGTTCATTACACCAAAGGGAGAGGCAACAATGGCAGAGGTAAAAAAAAAGATTTTATTTAAAGAATGTTCCATTTTAATTTAATCTTTTTTTTGCATCATAGCGATAGTATGTATAATCCATAGCTAATTAAAACCTTTAATTTTGTTAATAAAACCTCTAAGGACAGGTCTGTTTTTTATTGGGGGGAGGGGGGGGGGAGTGGGCTGGGGAATTCCCAATAAACTTTTTAAATACAGTTGTAGCCCTCTTTCACTCAGTAAAAAATTCATGACCCTCCTATTAAGTCAACAAGGAGATGGCTCTCGTTAAATTGAAAAGGTTTTGACCTTCCTCAAAAGTTCAAATTTTTCAACTTCAAATGACCCTCCCCATCTCATAAAAAACATACCTTTACTAATATAAAGCAATGATTTTGTCACAGCGATCAGCGCACCTTTTTACTTATGGATATGGAAACTCTTCAAGGTATGAAGTGCTGTTAGTGGAAATAGTTCTTCTTGACTACCAACAACAGTATATAATCCCTCCTTCTTTCATGGCCACACTCATTTTATTTCCATTGACCTATTAAGTTTAGTAATATGATCGACAAAATTATGCAACTTCTCCAAATTAATATTGTTGCATTGCAAGTGGTAGAGCAAATGCTGTCTGTGTTACCACTCTGAACATGACAAATTTTCATTGTTGCAAAGTCTAGAGTAAAAAAAGCGTTTCTTCTTTGTGCAATGATGCAAGTTTGGCACACCCAGAGTGGCAGCAACTTGAAACTCAGCAATGTCATGCAACAATTTGTGCAATGTTGTCACCAGTATTACTACACCTTTAAAGAGGTACTAAGCTAGCTGTTAGATGTTAATGCATCATTTTGAAATGTCATGTTTTTCAAACAGAAATTGGTTTCCTTGTGTGGATTCCTATTCAGAAGTATGCACATGGAGTATCGACATAACTACTGACAAAGACATGATAGCTGTTAGTTGCGGCGAGCTAACAGACCAGGTAATTGCTGTATCTAGACTTTTACTCCACTCGGAAAAAAACGAGAAACGTTTGAAAGCAGTTTAGTTGTGTTTGATCTGATTTTTGTTGTAGTTATTCTCCTATATAGTTTAAAAACTGAGTTACAAAACAGGATATGCAAATGCAGCAAAATAGATCTTTTCACATGTACAGAAATTGTAATGTTGGTGTTAAGTTTTCCCATTTCAAATGGGATGACATTTCATTCCCAATCGGCTTCACCTCTGCACCGATACATCTTGTATGCTTCTCTAATGCATCTAGCAGTACCTATTTATCTCAGTGGACATAATGCTGAGTGTTGACCATCATTTCTTAATCTCTCTAACTGAATATTGTCTGTATGTTTCTTAGATTTTGAGTGCGGATGAAAAAAGCAAGACATTTCAGTATGTGCTGAATATTCCTACCTGTGCTCCTAACATTGCTTTAGCTGTGGGGTAAGTACATACATGTACATGTATTGCTGACCATTCTTTGTAAACCAGATGGCTGGCTAATAATAGTTATTTCACCATCAGTGCTTCATCTTAAGGATACACGGAACACAATCAGGTCGGTTTTTTTGAACGCTCATAGTGCGTTTAGTTTATATAAATTTCCCCGTAAAGTATGCATTTTCTAACAGCTTAAAGTTCAAATRTTGCATATTCAATTTTTCTTTTGGACAAAAATAATTCATTTTGGATAAATCGGGCATTGATTGCAAACGCTATGGTTCGACGCGAGATGTTTGTTCTCCCTCTGGTTAGCGTAAACGGATCAAATTTTTTTTGCATCTTATTACACGTATGTTGTTCTACCAAAGTGTGTCTGCGTTTTTTCTTTTAGCGCTTCTTTAATCTTTTATTCAATTCCAAAGTCATAACTACATGTTTTTAAGGGCATTCTTGAGAAAATGGCAAATATCTGACTAAAGAAAAGGAAAATGAAAAAATGCAGACACAATTTAAAACTCGAGCATAGTAGGAATCCACATGCCAAGCTTCACGGTAATTGATCAAAAACCGAGGGAGAATAAACCTTCTGAAAATGTGTATTTTACCAAAAACTACTTTTGAGAAAAACACAAGTTTAGTTTAATGGGATTATAAGTTTATTTACTCAATGTTGACAAGTTTCTGCACAGTATGCCAATGAGCGTAAAGTATATTAACTTAATTTTTATATAAAATTAAAGATTTTACTTTATGTTTGATATAGCATGGTTTCAAAAAAAAAATTTTTTTTGACGAAAATTGTGTTCCGCGTATCCTTAAGATATTTTTTATTGAATTCATTGTCATTGTGATGTTTTCCTCCAGTCCATTTGAGGTCCATGTTGATCCTATCATGCCAGAAGTAACAAACTTTTGCCTTCCTGGTCTTCTTCCTTATCTCAAGCATACTTCTGCATTCCTGCATGATGTCTTTGAGTTTTATGAGGAACACTTGAGCTGCCGCTTTCCCTATGCACAATACAAGCAGGTCTTTGTGGACGAGGCATATGATACGAAAATGACTTATGCTTCTATGGGAATTTTCAAGTAAGAGAATCTTAAAGAAGTGTGGTACAACTATTTCACAATCTGTTTTCTTCATCCATTTGTAAATTAAGGGCACCTGGGATATGACATTATAAATCTCTGATTTCTGATTGGTTGGGAGTGCGTGCTTTATAAGAGCACACAGCACCTGCGCACACTTTCAGTTGCATCATTTCTATCCAAAATAACGGTTATTGTAATTTGTATTTTATAAAAGAAATAAAAACTTGCTTTCTGTGCTGTGTGAAGTTATAAAGCACTTGGGGATTGAAAACTCAAGAATTGTTAAGAAGCACTCTGCTACGCGTCATGCTTCTCCTAACGCTGTTCTTGTGCTCTACCAACTCCCTCATGCTTTAAAACTGCACACAGCACTCAAGTGTGTTTTCTATTTCTACAGTGGTACAGTAGTGCACTCCCTCCCAAGGAGTTTAATTTGTGGACTTGGCATCACATGATGGCATTAAAAAAGTGTCAGCAGAGGTTGTTGTTCTTCCTTGATTAGAGGGTTCTCTAATTTTCCTCCCTCAACAAAACCTGACACAATAAATTCCATTTCAATTTCCATATGATTGTACAATGTTGAAGGTTTTGGACAAGTTCTAATTACCTTCTTGTAACTTCAACAAGTTTCTACTTGTAATTAACCATCCTATTTATTTAAACAGTAATGATAAAAGGGTAAATTTTACCTTGTGAAAGAAGAGTTAACTATCTAAAAGCTAGTGTGAGCTGCGTCATTGTTTATAATATAACAGTAATGATAAAAGGGTTATTTTTTTCTTTCGTCTTTTGATTGTTTCTTTCGTTTCCTTGCCCACCTTGTTCTCATTGGTTTCTTTTGTCTTATTCTATCATATAAACACTCCTTTCTACCGCCTGTTTCTCTTTTACTCTGACGAAGGACTATAGCATCCGAAACATCAGTAAGTTTTTCATCTTTTCACTGTGTAAAATTTACCCTTTTAGCATTACTGTTTCATTAGAAATATGGATGCAGCTCACACTATTTTTTAGCACGTTATCTCATCCTATTACTTCTTTATTAATGTTTTATGAATATAAATTTTTTCTTGCATTTTTGAACATCAGTACCAGCTTGCTGCATTCACCTCGCATCATTGACCAAACATTCCAAACCAGGAAAGTCCTGGCACAGGCTTTAGCTGAACAGTTCTTTGGTTGTTACATCTGTATGCAGGACTGGTGAGTCATCAGTATGTCTTTTATTTCAATAGGCTGCTCTATCTTGGTGTGTTGTTTTAAGGAGTCAAGGGTGGTAACAAATGTGTCTAGTCTAGTCGTTCTAGCGCTTTTGCACTAATTGGGGACACTTTTCGCTCACACGCACTACCACTGCATTTAATATTCTATGCACACAACGCTCAACTCACATGTTGATTTTTACGGAGGGAGGAAACCGGAGAACCCGGAGAAAACACTCGTAGCATAGGAGAGAACAACACATCAAACAAACTCAATTCACATGTGGCGACCTCAGGGCTCGAACCAGCGACCTGACCCGTTGGACTCACAGTGGTGAAAGACGACGTGTTAGCCGCGAATGCCACCCATGCTACAAAATTACAAGTACAAGTTATAGAGTATACTATTATTATGTACTGTAATGTAGTGGAAGTGCACTTGCGTCTCACCTCTGGGTTTAGAGCTTTGATTCCTGGACTTACATCGTATGTAGCCTGTGTTCTTTTGGACACAAAGCCCAGCATTTTGTGTTTGGATGCATGCAGGCTACATCATTCACACATGATTGTAGTTTGTAAGGATTCTCCCTAACTTGTGAGTGCCACACTCAATGTTAGTGATCAATGATTTCAGGGGGCTGAATTTGTAGCAGAATAGCCAGCAAATCACCCTTGCAAGGGAGCAAAATAATATAAAAAATATTGATCATTCCAGTKATGACGAATTGATCATTTTAGGTCAGATGCATGGCTCTGCTCTGGTATTTCTGACTATCTTTATGGACTGTTTGTCAAGAAAGTCTTTGGAAATAATGAGTACAGGCATTATATAATGAAGGTAATAATTCACTTACAAGAACTACTTATGTACTGTATTGATGAGTTTGTGAGCCTTACAGGTGTCAGTTCAACTCATTTCAGTACATTGAGATTATTGACCAAGCATGAGGCCCAGATATTGGTTGAATTCATTTTGGACTTATAGACTGCATTATTTAAACAAGATTTGGCTCAGTCCATAAGTAAATAAGTAAAGAAGACTGGTCTAAGCTCAACCAATTAGATCGTACCATTTTCATTTGGACCAGCTTGCTGTAGGATAATGGACAGTACTGTTAGAACATTTTCACATGACGTCACAGCTGCCATATTAGTGTACCTTTGACAATAATTTTGTCATTAGTTTCTTTTGTTAAGTACACCAATATGGTTGCCATTCAATTTCTAGAGACTGAGTGAAAACACTCTATACAGCACAGCAAAGTACATGTATGCTTATAGGGGCGGGTGGATCCAGGATTTTGTTCAGGGAGGGGTGCTGTGCACAAAGTTAACCCAGGGAGGGGTGCACCCCTTAGAATCAAAGGGAAAAAACTGCATTGGTTATCTTTGAAGTAGTGAACAAAGTGGAACCAGGCAGGGGTGYTCACCCACTGTATCCCCTCCCCTGGATCCACCCCTGGTTTATTAATTTACCATCATCCATGGCTCCCAGTTCAACTAGAAATAAACTTTTTGGTTAATAATCTTTTTCCCTGTCACAACTGTAGGAAAATGACTTGGTGTGTCAGTACGAGATGGAAGGTCCTGGACTGCCACCTCTTCATTCACCTTTGAATACGAAAACACTGACTGCTACTGGAAGCTCTTCTTCAAGCACCACCACCTCTGATCAAACACCAATAATACCCTTCTCTGCCACCCATCTTCACCCGCAGCTGATCGGAGTGAAACAGAAGGAGGTGGCTTTGAGCAAGGCACATCTTGTGCTCAGGATGATTGAGAACCGTATTGGGCAGGAACCTCTGCTGCAGGTACATGTACGGGGTACTTCATGACCAGGTTGACACATTTCAGTCAAGAAATTATACTCTAGGGAATGACCCTTAACAAACAATCTACATCTGATAATTCTCCAAAATATTGAGCACATTTTTGAAGTTTTTACTTGCTGTTTGTTGGGTTGCTAGGTGTTCAATAAGCTGTTGTCTTTGGCAAATACTACAGCACAGCCCAAGGTGGACCCAAGTCTGTGGAAAAATCTACTGGCTTCTACATCAGGGGTAAGCATTCTAGATGCATACAGTTACTGTCAGTAATGAAGTTTGCAAAATTAAGGCACCTTTGTCTAAAACTTGAAGGATAAGCTGTTGTTGCCTTGGCTATAACTGATGACAGCATAAATGAAAACAATAATTTATGCGTGTCCTTGTAACCCCATTGATGGGCCATCGCCCTAAAACTTGTTGATAAATATTACATTTTTCGTTTGAAGAACTTGTGTTTAATAATGTCAAAAGTTATTTCAAAAAGGTTAATGAAGGTTTAATTGTGTGAACATTGCATGTTGCATGCCAACCTCAAAATGTACTACTGTGTATTCATTTATCACTGGAAAAATTGCTAGAAAAAGCATGCAGACAAAGTTTGGGAAAATTCCATATCTGTGTGATCTTTCACTGATTGGATTCACATCACTCATAGTGCATCCTACCCATAACCTACCGGTATACTACCCATAACCTACTGTACCAACATCCTACTGACACTGACTAAGGAGTCCCATTGTTTACTATTATCCTAAAAAAATTTGATTTTGGACCACGATAAAGTAACTAGTTAAAATTGGATTTGTTCTTTCAACAGTTTTTGAAATCCATATCTACAGTATCAGGCAAGGATATCAATGTCTTTGTTGACCAGTGGATGTATCCTTTCTTATTGTTGTTTGATTATTTCCCTGTCTTTGTGACTCATTTAAGTGTACCCTTATGAAAATCGCAGGCCTTTTACAGTCATGTTTTTCACCTTTAACATACCTGTAATATGTTAAATTTGAAAGTTCTGTTAAGCTTGATAAAAGCATGGAACTTAACTTAACTGAAGTATGACATACTGCCTTGTTTGAAAGTTTGTATTAACTTTGCATTGCTTCACTTAGACTTCCTCCAAGCCGACTTCTCTTTTTTTTGTCTCCTGAGTTTTTTTTTTATTCTAGTAAAGAAGTGGGTAGTCTTCTTAGCAGCTATTTTTAGTCTCATTCCATTTCCCGAAGCTCCACTTCCTTCCCCTGCTAAGGACACTTAGGAGTGGGTGACGGACTTTGCAAAAGATAGTCTGTTCTTCACTGAGTAAAATACGATTTAATGTGAAGTTTGAAGTATGCTTTTTCCTCAACCATGTGTAACAGATGCCACACTGGTATTGCTAAGTTTCATGGCAGCTTTGTGTTCAACAGAAAGAGGAACATCGTAGAACTTGACATCAAGCAGGACTTGTCAAAAGGAACTGTCAAATATGTGGTATGCTGTGTTACCATCACAAATGACACTTACAATAGCTATTACAATCTAACTGTGTTACATATCTACATTTTAGTGTCAGTGGAGTCAGTGTTTTTCTTGAACAGACACATACAAGACAAATGATGATAAATTTAATTACATATTGAATTGAACAAAATGTTAAATGTTGATCAGGTTTTCATGCCTTAATAGCAAAATAATTCCTAAACTGTTCGTTCCATTTTTTATATTTGTGGATATGTTGTTTTTTTTTCTTTTCAGTTTTTAAAAAGAATATTTAGATTTTATTTTTAGGTTTTATATTGCTTTTATAAAATATTTTTGACTGGTTTTGCACAAGCATTTATCTGTCCTCTCATTTAAACATGATTCCCAGCTAATCAGCATGTGCATTATACTTCAAATATTCTATAACACATAACATGTCTAGTATATGCAAGACTAGCATGATTTAAGGTTCCTGCTTCAATCTTTGACCCAACCTTTCTAGCGAGTTTAAAATAACAGTGCCATCAATACAACAAGTAGAACATATTACCAACTTTCAAATATCACTGTATAGGGTCCATTAACAGTTTGTATTCAAGAGTTGGATGGATCTTTCAATCATACTGTTCAAATAGAGGACATCACAAGCAGACATGAGCTACCATGCCACTCAAAGAGTAGAAGGTATATTCCATGATTACAGATAAAATAACTATAAATAAATGAATAAGATAGAACATTTTTCTATAGCAGGATACAAATTCAGTATATGAATACTGTTAAATCCAGTATGGCCCACTGTTGACACTCACACACTACCACTACATTGAATATTCTATGCGTACAACTATTGACTATTGAGGAAAATGTAGAAAGACCTTGTGGCACAGGAGAGAACATATCATATTGATCAAACAACCTCGACTCACAACATGTACAGCATGATCTAGTCAGAGTTGGGCTCAAACCAGGAGCACAGTGGTAAGCCACTACACCACTGCTACCCTATGCCCAGATTAAGGCCAAAATATTTTTTAAGTACATAAAAGACTTAAAAATGCATTAAAAATGCTACTTTCTTCTCTGAACTGTACTTACTGCTAGTTAAGACATTCTTCAAAAATTAAGACAAGACTAATATTTTTTACTTATGACTAATTGTTGCTTTTTTCCAGGAATAAGAAGAAAAAGATTCCTTTAATGACAGGGGAAGAGGTGGACATGAATCTAGATTCCATGGAGTGAGTCATAATTATATCATGTAATAAATCATTTTTAATTGAAACCACTTTGAGACTTATTGATTCTTGCTGCTATTCCAAGATTTGAAAAGATCATCTATCAAGCCAAAAGCTATTACATTAAGGTACCAGGGGACCTTCACGACCGATGTTCACTAAAAACATCATAGTGCACTAACTATTCATCTAATGGCTACAAAAGTATATATTAATGCTGAATAAACACAGATTTCAACCACGAGAATGATTTTTTGAACAACCTTATCAGTTTTTCAAGAGTGCAAGTTTTATAATTTTCGACCGCTCTTTTTCAAAAAGTTTCCAGAACACGGGAATTTTTGTGAATAGAAAATAGATGACGTCACCGTAAAGAGCACAGTTTAATCTCCAAAACGGAATTTTGATATCTTGTCTCCTTTTAAAGTTATTTCATGATTTATGCATAAAAGAGAACAAATATTTCTGCAACAAATGCGTTTATTGAAAATCTGAGACATTGATTGCTGACTGCTAGTCAGATCACTCTTACTTTGAAAAGAATTTTATTTAACATTTGGTATAGATCCATAAACTATAATATGACCACAGTGTTATCACTATATCATGATAAGCAAATGGACAACTTCGTCATGTCATCACCATCACCATCAGTGTCATTATCATCATCACCATCATAATTTTTATCATTAACTAACAATCAGTTTTCATCATTCACTAACAATCAGTGTCTTTTGGAAAATAAAGGGTAAGGTGGCGTGTTAACCATGGTAACCCCATCAGATTCAATGGTATTTCCGAAGTCACTCTCAATTATCAGTTAGTCTTCTGGTTGTTGTTCTTAGTATGTTTTATCTCCTTCTACAGTTCAGATTCACCTGTCCTTTGGATACGTATTGATCCAGAGGTGACATGGTTGCGCCATGTATCATTTGAGCAGCCTGACTATATGTGGCAATATCAACTGAGACATGAGAGAGACGTCATGGCACAAGCTAAGGTACTGTCCCTGGGGGGGGGGACTCTCTTGAAAAGTGGGTAGGGGGGCTGGGTACTGTCTTGAATCTTTCACCATCTTTCACCATCTTTTCATCGTGTGGATGAAAGAAAATCACAGGCTGATCTTCAAAATATTAAATATCAACACCTACCAATAATAATTAAATTATTATTTATGTTCATTAGGCATTAGAAGCCCTAGCAAAATTCCCAACACCTGCAACCAGAGAAGCTTTGATTGACATTGTCAAACAAAAGGAATGTTTTTACAGAATACGACAAGAGGCCTGTCACTGTTTGGCCAAGGTGAGAAAACCTACCTGTGGCTCCATTCACGTTATAACAGGGTTAAAACTAACAGCTGCTCAATACTGATTTCCCAAGCCGGACTGATCAACATGTGACCAATCATTGTGAATGTGACTGACAACCAAGGGCTCTTTACATGGATTGAGTTTAGACAGAACATAGTGCTGTTTATTTGTTGAGTAATCAAAGAGAACCACAGGATGAATTCAAATGGCATGCTCGGGATGTTCTACTGTGGCAAAGATCTGAGCTCAACCAAATACATCATGCAGTCATCATTGACCATGATGGTCAATCATTGTTGGTTTTCATTGATCGTTACGACTGTTTCACCATTGACCTTGGTCATTTTTCTCTTAATACATGAAACCTAATTTTGTTGGTCATAATCGATCGATCACTTGATGGACCTCTCATTATTTCAAATATTTAATTAATACATTCTTTTCCAGGTTGCATCATCGAGTGCAGACAGTTGGGCAGGTCATGCAGCGATGCTCAACATCTTCAAAAACTTCTATTCTTCAAAATCTTGTCCACAAATTATTCGATATAATGATTTTTCAAATTTCCTTTCCTACTTCCTTCTTAAGGTAGGTTTGATTGATATTCCTGTTCTTTTTTATTTTTATCATTTAAAATAAGTTTGTGTCTTGTACTGTAATATAAGCACAATCAAGCTTAGAAACACAAAGCACAGCCAAGCATTTGTTTTACATTTGAACATCACTGTCACCATCACCGTCACAGTCACCATCACCATCACCATCACCATCAACATCACCAACACCGTCACCGTCACCATCACCACCATCATCACCGTCAACGTCAATGTCATTGTCACCATCACTGTCACCAACACCAACACCATCAACATCACCATCACCATCACCATCACCACCATCATCACCGTCAACGTCAATGTCACCGTCACCATCACCGTCACCATCACTATCACCATCGTCTTCACCATCATCTATACCGTCATGGCCATCATCATCATCATTGTTATCATCATCATAGTCATCATTGTAATGTCATTAACATCATTATCACCATCACCATTGCCATATTCGATGTATCACTGTACAGAACATCTCATGTTGGAAAGAAAGACTTTATGACTCAATCTTTATTTATCTTGAATCTGGCTTACCTTCCTCAGACACTACCAGTTGCTATAGCATCTATCAGGAACATCCATACTCAATGTCCACGAGAAATACTTCAGTTTCTCCTTGATTTGTTGAAGTACAACGATAATCGTATCAACAAGGTAATTGTATATAGGGTGGTGCCATAGGGTTGTCAATAATGTCTTGGGGATGGGGGTAAATCATTTGTAAGTTGTTGGATGGCAGATGTGGTGGGTGGTACTTTAGATTGTCATTGGGTTGTCAATAGTTTCTTGTGAGTGATGGTAGTTTATTTGTCAGTTGTTGGATGGCAGATGTGGTGG